GCGGCGGGTACCCCGGGGGCGGCGGCGGCGGCGGCTGCCTCAAGTGCGCGGGCGGCGGCAAAGGCTTCGCGAGCGCCTCTAGCAGCGCGAGCAGCAGCGCCAGCAGCCACAGCTACGGCCGCTGACCCTCCGGCTGCAGCCCAGGCCCTTCTTGTAACGCAACGCATTAAAGTACTCTACTTCTACAAACGCCCTTTCTTGTCTCCGGACCCTCCCCGCATCCCTGCTCCATACAAAGGATTTATTTTTATTGTTTACCACGCGCTCATATGAGGGGTACAGACACAAAGGGTACAAGAACATTTTGGGGAAAATTTGAGTGAAGTATAGGAGTCTAAATTAAAAACTCCTTTTTATTTCGTGAACAAATGGTATTTCAGGTGGAAAGAAAATGCCTTCCGTAGCGATTTCTACAATCATTAAACTTTGAACTGTATTTTCTCAATACCACAGTTGATATCTCTTGATATCGCAGATGATATCCCTTGTGCTCGAAGCCCATCATATCCATTATAGGAGGTTTAACTGATTCCATTTTTAAATGGTTAAAGTGCACTGTTTATCACTACATTTACGGTCCAAAAGAGACACCTTCCACTGAAGAGGTTGCAAGTTCCTATATTGAAGTTGAAGGATTCTAGGAAATTTATGTGAACAAGATTAAAAATAATACAAATGCATCTTGACCACAGAATGAACATAATGTTATCGTTTGTGTAGTCATTATCCTGAAGGTAGTTAGATTTTCAATATACTGACACAAAGTAGCTCTAAACTTGCTTTCTAGACAATTACCTCAAGTGAAGTAGAGTCGCGAATTTCCTCTCCAAGCTGCAAAGGGTCAAATCACCTTCCACTTGTGCGAGTAATACCTTTCACGGCGCCAATTGAATGGCTCAGACCCAAGCTGCAATTCCAGCGACAGCCACTGCGCGCGCTGGCGTTGCCTCTTACTCCCCCCGGGATTCGCACCGGGGCCTTCCGAATGAGCGCCCGGGAACACTCGCTCAATTTCCACAAGATACATTTCAAAGGAATGTACTTTGTTGCACAAATACAAAATTTGCCACACAGTCCTCCCAATAACATGTGTGAATAATATTGCAACGTCTCAAGACCCAATATTGACGACTACCGAGTCTAGTACGGTAACTACACTAATAGTGGCGACTTCAAGTACTTCAAACTTACAGAACGGCAATCATCTGCCTTCTAGTGCTCAGAAGTAGAACGAAGACAATAATTTATTTCTTTTGCTTTATTTTATATTTAAAGAATAAGTCGGAAGTATCTTATTAATATTGTCACTGCAGTAATGTAACAAGAATATGTACTTTTTTGGTTTTAAGTGTCTCAAACACTTTCACATGGTAGAATGTCGATTAAGCATTACTGAACCCAGTATCTCACTACTACTATAATGTTGCAATTTTCAAGTAGCCACACCTGGAACTAATTCAGAGATGGGAAATAAATCAATGAAAATAGGAGGAATTAAAAACTAGAGGTACTACAACAGAACGCATATAATCGCAATATTTGTAACGATTACGTATTAATATAACTACTTGAACCCGCAAAAGTTATTAAAATCCGCAGGAATATTGGTCCTCGCTGCGATTCTAACTTAATTAATTGGGCTTAGTAAGTATGTAGCGTAACCACTACTACAATTGTCTGGGTCAGCATAATAACCTAACCGTTACTTCTAAACGAAAGTTGAACTTTTCCAATTTCAAAAAACTAAGTTTTTAATGAAAATCGTGTGAAGTCGAACAAAAAAGCAATAAAAAGGTTGCAGATTTAACAAAATTTGTAAAATTATTTTTTAAGTTAAATTAACAATGTGGGTAATGAGCGGCATATCTTGTTTATGTAATTTGTAAACATTTCTCTATTTTACTCACACACTCACTTTACTCACACTGCTCATATTTTCAAGAAAATTACATCACATTACAGAGATCTAATTTAAAAGAACAGAGTTGTTGAAACATCTCTATTTTAAATATTATAGTTGTAGTGAGACGCCAAAAAAACCAAACTGACCTGACTGTTACCTGAGAGACCAAACTGTTACAATTTTTGAAAATTTAGACAGTTCAATGACAATCAAACAAACTTTTTTAAGAGTACATTGCCCATGGCCCGAGATTTAGCCAGTGTACCAGCCATAGACAGTTACAAAGTTTCCATAGGTTTCGCAGCCCAAAACTTCAATTTAGAAAACGAGAACACAGACTTGCAATCTTCATACAATATCCCAGCAGGTAACGGATTTTCTGAATTAGCCTCCAAGGAAACCAATTCTCTTCCCCCAAAGAATACCACCACCATTCTTTAGCAACCAACAAGAAGAATTCCCATCACTACCCTCCACCCAGACAATCTGAAACTTTACTAGGAACAACAATCCTGTAAACCAATCAGGATTCGTCAACAATACGAGATTACAGGGTAATCACACAACACAACAAAACCAACAAGATAATAATAATCCCCCTTTAAATTCAATAATTAATTTATAATGTCCTGCATTATAAACTTCATCAAATACCTCATGTCATCAATAGTCAATACAATTTAGAACACAGTAACAGCTTATTTTAATAACAATAGTGTCAATACAAGCCCTTACAAGTATATCATTCACAAATTGGAATGTAAATGCGATCACATAATAAAACTGACTCAATATTATCACCCATATAACGTCGACATTGCGTGCCTAGCAGAGATCGACCTAAACAATATGTTTTACACACCAGAATACAAAATTAATATAAAAGACAGGAGCGAAAATAAAGAAGGCGGTGTACTAATGGTAGTCAGGAACAATATAAACCATCACGAAATTAATACACCAAACATCAAAGGAATAGAAACAGTAGCAATAAGCCTAACAATGAACAATCAATGATGGAATATAATAGCTGCTTATAAATCTCAACCATAAAAATACAACCCTTAAATTAACTTAATATGTTCACCCCAAATTTAAAAAAAAATAACACTGGGCTATCTAAACGCTAAACACACAAACTGGGGATGACGCACTAGCAACCAAGCAGGAAAACCACTATCACAAAGTTTATACAATACTATCAATGTTCTATCCTCTCCAGAACCAACATACTATCCAAGAGACATAACTAAAAAACAGACATCCTCATCATCGGACTGACTGATGGAAATATCAATTTTTACTCAAACCCATGTCATGAACTCGACTCAGACCACATTGCTACAAATAAACTTAACCTATACCTTCCAATAAAAAACAACAAACAATATATAAACCAAATAGATACTTGGTCATCCAAATTAAAAATAAAATAAAATCCAAACAAAACTGCAGCAAAAATATTCTCTTTAAGACCACACACTCCACTAACCACATTAACATTGAATAATGTTCTCATTCCATAGTACCCCCAAATAGGTCCATTAAATATCTTAGACTGCACATGAACACTAAATTGAACGGGAAACAAGTCATAAACATAGAAATAATACAAACTAAAAACAATGTACATCATTTAAAACTAATTAATAGGAATAATTACCTCCCATACAAAATAACAATAATATTATACAAAGCAATAATCTGACTGACCCTATTCTTCACCTGCCCAGTACGGATCAATGCTGCAAAAACAAATATCAACAAAATTCAAATAGTACAATTCCTTCGCACCATGACTTATACATCCTGGTTCATATCTAATCAATTACCCAATGAATTCAACCTCGATCTCAATATTCACCATATCACGTAACTATCCCTCAATTTCTTCTCTAATTACACCATATTCAAACTTTATCTTCATTCAAACTCTGCAGAAATCCGATTCATCATTCTCAAAAATAAATATCCATACCACGTATTCTGTAAATTGTTTTCAGATCTAGAAGAGATCCTATGAGGTGCCATCATGGTTTCCTCAACCTCTATAGTAGTGTTAACTTAGGTTAAGTTTTATTTAATAAGTCAACAATACATATGTATAGATGTCAACTGCTCTATGTACAAAACAATCAAATAAATAAATTAAAAAACAAACAATCTAGGAATGTGGCGTGTCGCAAATCATCGCATCTCGACTTTTCTGGGGTGATGCTCTGCCCGATGTCCGCCAGTGGAATCTGCAATCCCCTCACAACAGAGCTTATGATTCCGCGGCCGGAGTCAGTTGCTACTTGGCTGTCCGGGAAACGCCGCGTCCTAGGCACAGGCGCCAAAAGGACGACAATGCGAGCTTATGGCATTACGCCCGGAGTAAGGTCGCAGAGTGGCGGCCGAAATGTTGGCACCTATGCCTAGGTCGCCGCGGCGTCTCGCGGAATACCAAGTAGCTACAAGCTTCCGACTCTAGTGTCGATGTCTTATTTCAATACCGGTTGATACACTCAGTAAAATTGACTTTTATGAGTAGAATTAGTCACATTTACCGTTGAAGTTGAAACCAAATATCGTTGTATTAGAACCATCCAACTTCATTATCAAATATTTATAACTGTAAAATACGGAGTATTATACGTAGTATAGGGAAAGTAATATAATGCTGCGAATATTCTATTTCGAGACTTCAACGGAAAAAACCTTTTTGGGTCCCCTGATACCGAAAAAGTGTTTTTTTCAAAACGTCCGTCCGTCTGTTAGTCACCACTAGCGTCTAAACCAGACGTATCCCCCCCCCCCATATACATAAAAATACTGGTCACTCTGGCTCCATTCGAGGCGCAACGATTTTGAAAAACTTTCTTCAAAATTTAGAGATATGTTGTATGAAAAAAACCGAAAAATTTTCAAAATTTTCTCAAAATCGGCTCTAAATGTTTTCTTTAACATTCTTCTAAGAATAGAGTAAATACACTTTTAAAAGTAGCATAGGTCCGATTTTCAGGTTTAACTTTGAATTTTCGAAAATTTCAAAATTTCAAAATTTTTCGAGCTTCTTCCTACAACCACAAAATTGAAGATCAACAGACAACTTTTCCTTGAAATAAAATTTGTTCTGCATAGTTAGTTCTTTCAAGTTCATGAATATTTTTCTGAAAATTTAAGTAATTTTCGCGAAATATTGCGTAAATTATGTGCAATTTTAAACTAGTGCCGCTAGAGAATGGCACAGACTTTCCCGTATTAGTTTTCTATTTCCTTTGGTCTCTGCTAGCTACTCGGACATGCCACATACTCTTGCTAGCTATTATCTATCATCATGCATATTAAATGTTTTAAAAATATTAGTTTTTCGTTTTCCTAATATAACAATCGAAATATTATTTTAATAATATTAAAGAACAGTAAAACCTTGCCCTAAATGGTAATTTGCTTTGAAAACTTTGAAGCCGTTTATAAGAAAATGGCGTTTCGGCGCTACTGTAAATGCGAAATTTGAACCTCTTATCAGAGGAAACTATTGAGTTTCTGAAAAACTTCATATGAAGTCATTTAAAGCACTTCCAGTCACAAATGCAATAATGTTAAGAAATTGCTGGAAATGTGCGCATTAAAATCCGTGAGAAATCTTTAAAAAATTATATTAGTGTAATTAAAAAAATGCATCGAAAAGAACTTTACGTCACATTAAAGAGTGTAATTAGCACTATTTCTTCGAAAAATTTGAAGAAAAAATTTGGAGCCGTTTTTGCGAAATTAGCTTTTCATTTTTTCTGAAAATGCGTAAATTTGAGCTAGTTTTCTCAGAAAACATCTCACATAACACAGTTGAGTTTACCGCAAAACGTGTATTTCCGTTGAAATCCGCAGCTTTACAAAACTTTTCCTATATACTCCGTATATACCTACGTATTCGAGAAAGTAACCAGGTTTCCTCAGAAACGGCTTCAAATTTTTTCTTCAAATTTTTTGATAGGGATTGTGTTCCTACCATAGTCTCCTTAACTACCTTTAAAATGTCCCTAAAACTCAAGAGTTTTCTGTGAAAATGTGCTCAAAATTCTGTATTTTCAAAAACGCTCAAACGCCATTTTCTCAAAAAAGACTCCAAGTTTTTCTTCAGACTCCAACAGATAGTGGTAATTGCATTGTTTAAGACGACGTAGAATTTTCAAACATTTACATATGTAATTTTTTAAAATATATCTCACGCCTTTAATATGAACATTTCCAGCGATTTGTAAACACTATTGCGTTTTTGGCTGAAAGTGCTTGAAATGACGTCGTATGAAGTTTTTTGAAAACTCAATTTTCTATGAAACGATGTTCATATTTCGAATTTACAGTAGCGTTTAAAAGCCATTATCTTATAAAATTTCTTATGGCTCCAAATGTTTAAAAGAAAATTGCCATTTAAGACAACTTTTTACTTTTCTTTAATATCCTTAAAATCAAATTTTGTTCGACAATTAACAAAACTTTAAAAAAATGTAATTTGCGCGGTGATAGATGACAGCTGGTAAGAGTAAGTGGCATGTGTGAATAGGTAGCGGAGACTAAAGAAATAGAAAACGAATACGGGAAAGTCTGTGCCATTCTGTTGGACCACTAGTTCTCTCTGGTCTCGAACTCTTCTAAGAGTTTATACAATACTATTCTTTATGTAATTTTCCGTTATATATCTTGTCCATTTATATGATTATTTGTTCCTCATTATGCTTATGTATTTCTTGCAATGTTACTATTCTAAGTCGGCAATCTTATGGGTGGACACCAGCTAGCCACCTATGGGAGAGCGGGTTAGGTGGCTCAAGTGATGTCACTGCAGTGCCTGCGATAGGGAGGTCCTGGGGTCGAGTTCTGATGGTGGCAGAATTTGCGACTCTAGCCACTCAGCTAGATCGTATTCAACCACTGTTGATGAACACTAGCGGTCGTCTGCTCTGATCGGTATTTTTTCGTGATTTCTCCGATCAACAACTGGCGAATGCCGGAGCACATTTCTAACAAACGGGCCACAGAAAGCGCGCGTTCTCTTCCCCTCTTTCTTGTCCTCTCCTCACCCATTACTTTTTTACTGACATTGACGTGCACTACACTACCATATATATTGGGATACCTGCTGGGAACTTAGAGCTTTTTCCTATCGGGGCAGGGTCCGGTAGAGGGAGGAAATGATTGGGAGATACTTGTACGTATAGGTCTGCGCCGGATCTCACCATTCGGGGAAGGAGATATCACTGCTAAATCCAGCCAAAGAACTTGCCTATTCTTATGGGGCTAACGGTCTCATTAGCTGAAGTGCCCGGAATCACTCATCGTAGTCCCAAAGAGGCCTTACGAGTGGCAGGTATCAGCCTGCGTTGACGGCCCTGGTTCTAGGCTCGCTCTTCTACTGCCTCTCTCGTCCCTTGCCAACAGCGGCCGGCACCCGGCTCCTCGCGCTTCCCTGTCCAGCCGCACCGCCTCGGGCGAACTGGCGCTTTCCTCCTCGCTGGGCACCACACGCACTTTCTGCTGTCAGCGGCGCGCAGACATGTCCTGTGTGCCGGCGCCGTGTTTGAAGAGTTGTGTGCCTCGACTCTTCTACATGTGATCGGCATTAGCTCCTCTCATGCGACTTCCGACTACTGTTTACACTGCTGCACTATACTGCCTTCGCGGCTGCACATCATTTGTCTGCAAGCCCATTCTGACAACTGACTACGTATGTGTAGTTTGCTACTCTGCACTTAATACTAATTGTTTCAAATTGAAGCTCTACTGTCATTCAATACCTATTTATGTCTTCTCAATAAAACATTTTCTACTTTGATACCTTCCGCACGAGAAATCTACTCAAGTAAACAATTTTATACTTCTTCTGAACCTTTTTATTATAGAATGCGTAATTGTTCATTATGCAAGTGTAATCTGGGCGATTCCATGCAAAAACACATGATTAATTAGATCGCTGGTGAGGTTGATACCTTTTTATTATGATAAAAAATAAAGATATTGTCTGGAATCAATACTTTTTATTCACCTTATGATCATTTCGATCGCATAGCAATCATCTTCAGAGCTTGCAGCTTCCGGGCAGGAAACACAGTTCTGCCTGCACAAACACATGATTTTATGGCATGTCTCCATTAAACTTGAAAATGTTTTGGGATATTGTTGTCCTTGATCCATCGTCAAGGTACAATTACAACAAGATAAGACTACTTGTGAAAATGCATATATTCTTTAAATTGCTTTTCTACCTCATAAACGACAATAAAAATTCTAAAAAATTTGTGTATATATGTTACGTAGTAAAATAATTCATTAAATATAAATTTTATATCGTAGTAATTTTGACACACAACAATAAAAATAATTTTTTAACAATTACTCAAAGAACAACGTCTTTAAATAAATGAAAATTTGTAAATAATATTGCATTCAAGATGTTATAGAAACAGTTAATTTTCTTGATTATATGCGAAAAAGAACAAAAATTAAAATTAAAAATCTCGAATTAGTTGAAAGGCGTATGGCATCCGCCGAAGATATCCATTGTTACAGCTTCATCTGCTCGCGTAGCGGCTGATGGACTGCTCAGATATAAGTCCCTTTGGAGAACAATTTCTCTGGGTACATCAGTAGAATTTGATACAGATTTTACCAAAGGTTTCTTCTCACTGGAATAATATATTTGTTTAGTATTGAAAACAAGCATTTTTTCGTTTTTTCACACTAAATTCAGTCAAAATTCTCATACTCAGTGCATCACTGCTAACAATACGTCGCACGTCATGAGATATTGAGACTCCAAAGAAGAGAACTTATGCACGTGCAACTTCTACAAGATTGTCTTTTCTCTAACCAAATTTCCCAAATGTAAAAGTGATCACAATAATTTAGAGACAGAAAAAAAATTGCAAACAACTACAAATATTAAAACATTTATTTATAATACACTCTGTATCAAAAACTATTTTTACACAATTATATATTTGACAATATTATATATAAATATAGCAACAGCATACCATTATTTAAAATCAACAAACAACCTCAACCACCTCTGTTCCGGTTTCCCCCCCAGAAGATGAAATCACTGTTTGAGACACCCCGATGTGGCCAATGACTCCAGGTTTGATTGTAGCATGGGAATCAGTGCCAACTCCAAGACCAACTCCCACTCCAGCCCCAACGCCAACACTAGTACCTACGTTGACACCAGCTCCCGCATCCACATTGGTACCTGCTCCAACACTTGATCCAACGCCCAAACCGGCGCCTACTTCTTGTCCAACAGTGTGGGTTATTCCGACATTGTTGATGATTCCAGTTTCCGCTGTAGCGTAAGAATCTGCGCCAACTCCAACACCAACTCCCACTCCGGCTCCAAAGCCAACTCCAGTACCCACGTTAACACCAGCTGCAGCATCCACATGAGTACCTGCTGCAACACTTGATCCAACGCCCAAACCTGTGTGGACTTCTTTTCCAACACTGTGGGTTACGCCGACATTGCTGATGACTCCAGATTCGGCTGTAGCATGAGAATCAATTCTATGTCCAACGCCAGCGACAACTGTGCTTCCGAATTGCGAGCCTTGCAAGGTAGGCGATTGTGAACTGAATATTATTTGAGTCCTGTTTTGTAGTAATTGGCCTTGACTGCTAAGAATATTTTCTGTGGCAATACTTCCAGTGGACGGTGTTGATACGTTGCACCCTGAATGTTGAAATTTTGAAATCGTTACTCTGTAATTGGTTACCCCTGTAGGAGTATATGTTCTTTCTTTCTTTACGAACTGTAGAAATTGTTTTTCATTTTCCTGCTGATGTAGATCAAGATTTGACGTTGTTCTCTTGATAACTGTAAAATAAATTGAAAGTAGTTCATTAGCTTATTATCGATATTATCCTCTGCTTGTAAAATTAAAGAAATCATTTTGTACGTTGATTTTTATTTATTTTATGTATCTATAGCTATCTATTTCTCTCTCTCTCTCTCTCTCTCTCTCTCTCTCTCTCTCTCTCTCTCTATATATATATATATATATATATATATATATATATATATATATATATATATATATTATTGCATTGACTTTTTAAAGTATTGGATCTTTGGATAGTGGATGAAAGAGAATTAGATCTTTGGATAATGTTTATATAATTTAATATTAGTGATTCAAGTATAAAATTTAAAAATGCTGATGTAATGCATCCTACCAGAAAGGTTCTTCTACGTACTTAGTTTCATCAATTTCTCTGATTTTTTTGTTTTCTTTTGTTATAAATATGTGAATGTTTAAGAAGATAAACTCATGTACAGGAGCCATTGTTTATGATAAATTAAGTGTAAACGATTTCTTACCTTTTGTTTGGATTTTATATTTCAGTATAAAACAAACAAAAGGTTATAATCGGTTCAGTTATGTATGTGGTCTATCGATTACACTAAACCCTCAAAATTGAGAAATTATTCTTACATTGTATCCAGTGATTCTTTACCCATAGGATGCATGCTATTTACTGTATAGTATCCTTTATATAGTTATTAATTTGAAAACAAATTGTATCTTAGATTCCTCAAAAATGTTGAATTAAAAATCAATCTGGTTTTTAATTATATCCTGCAGTGTGAGAGAAACTTGATATATATCAAAATATTAAGGTAGAAATGTATTTTAATTTTATTTTATTTATAAAATAGTAATTTAAGTAATAGTTTCCATTACCACTATTTGTTTTAATGTATTAAAATAAACATTGATGTCCTTCTTATGATCTTAAACCAGGAGGGAATTTTGCCAGTGATTTTTCTTTTTTATTATTTTAATTTTCCGAGTTTTTGAGACAAATTAAGTCATTAATAATTCCTACCAGATTTGCCTTTTTTCAATTTTGGTAGTGGGAGAAATATAGTTTTTAGCGGTTAGCGGGAAATTTAATAAATTCCTGCACATTGAGTAACTCCGAGTGTTCGGATCATCACTCACGGTCAGATCGCTTCCCTTGTACCAATTGAGACATATGATGTGTCTTTTGACGTGTCTCGGTCTCCTAATGAGGAGCTGATAATTTGATTAAGATTAAAAAGCCATAAGATTAAGAAAAAGGGGTTTTTCGCGATGTTATAGCCATTTGCATACGTTGCACTGAAACCCACCCTAGTGGAGGGCAAAAACGTCATGGCTCTGCAAACAGTGCTGCCTTACACGAGTGAAAAGCAGCTATATATGAAACGGTTTCCTGAACTGAGTCAGAGTGTGTGCGCTGTGCAGTGAGATTACAGACAGCCGTTCTTGATCTGTAACTATAGTACACTAGATTTTGAACAGGAAGGCTTCTGCAGAATTTTTTGGTTATTGGAAATCATAAAAACATTTACAAGAGCATTTCCTCTGGCGTATGTATACGTGTGCGAGAAACATTTATTAGCACGTGTATTTGAATGAATTTGTTACGGATTTAGTGATTATTTTTATTTTTACTTTATTAGCATTTCGAAAGTAAAACATACCTACACTTTGGTTATTAAATATCACTGGACTTGTTAACATAAAGTTATTCAAGGATGAATTTTAAGAATACACTAACTGATTTTGCGAACTTCGTTTATGTAAAAAAAATTAAAGCTATTTTTAGTAAAACTTGATATTCTACTCCATCATTTAAGGTGCCTCTTCGTGACAAAAAATCGTCATAATATAATTGCCTTCGTATTTTCACCACGAATCCAAATCAACAATCATAAATTCCATACCTAACCTCAAAATGGCGATGAGTGCGCAGTGGTTACGGGTCTTTGTGCGAACGGATCATGAGCATCTCTGCCTTGGTGCGCTCTAGCGGTCAAATGGAACATGAAAGCTGCCCTGAGTGCGCACCAGAGCGGCGAATAGAAAACGCTATTTGTGAATATGCCGAGAATTTAACCAACACCATCCAAATATATCTATGTAGATGGCGTTGATTAAACTCCGGTAGCAAAAGAGTTTTCACTCGATAATCATAATTTTCTTTTAAGACGTTAGTAAAACTGATGTTTCCATCCTTAGGTGAACAATTGTCTCACCAAGTGAATCGCACTGCATATTTCATTTTAATTTTCATTCGCATTATCGTAATTAAAAACATTATTTGCGAAAACCTATGAACAGTATTGCTTTGTAACTTGTAAAATTTGAGAAATTTCAAGTGAAAACGGAAAAAAACAGAACTATTAGTAATGCTAGAGAATGAACGAACGTTCTTTCGTTTGAATTCTCACTTTTTCGTTCTTAATTGTGCAAATACCGATATTCAAATGAATGTGAACCACAACTTGTTCTTAATAAACTTAACTAACACTTTCACATAACATACAAAACAACAATTCACGTAAAGATACAAAACAGTCGCCTCTTAATGTTTATATACCTTCGCATACAAAACGATAAATAGAGCAATTGTAGAAGTAAATACAATTTAGAGTTTGTGGAGTTTTAATCTCTTCAAAAAGTAGGGGAGAAAATATTTAGCAAATCCGGGAAAAAATCAAATGTAGTTGTGAAAGATGTAGCGACAGAATTTTAGGAACTAACTGGGAATAATCGGCATTTTTTATTTAACATTTGTGCTAATACAAATGTACTACATGCATTTTTATGCATATTATCAAAAAGCGTGTAGCCAAAAAATGTAGCTGTACTAAAATCTAACTATTCGCATCATCAATACCTGCAAATATTTGTTATGGCGATTATAATTTTGATATTGCAATATTTCCAGTTCTTATTTCGTATAGAGGTACCACAAGGCCTTTGGGTGTTGGAAACTTTTTAACGGGAGTATAACATTATCAGCTACTACGATTCATTGGTCAGTCCAACGTCAGATACTGAAACTACATATTTGAACAAAACTAGGCATGAAAGAAATGAAATATAAGAGAAATTTTCAACACATGAAACTATTTTTAAAATAATTTACAGCGTTGGGGACACTACCTTTTATTAGTAATATATAATTTTTATTTATATTTTAAGCAATAAATCATTATATTATAAATTTTACAAATTGCACATATGTAATAAAATAGACAAGTAAATTTGATAATTTGCTGGAAGATCTATTTCGTTCGCATTTCCATGTTAAAAGTAGACATCTACGTAATATTGTGAATTAATAGTAGAACAAGAGTTAAAGAATAAATCAGCGTAACTTAAAAATATGATGAATCGATGTTATTTCTGTACATTAAAATGTACGATTTAAAAATTAATTGATTCCCATGTAAAAAGTTCCACACATATAAATTATTTATTAAATCATATTGTATTTTAGTCATAAATGTGCGTGTTCGTGTTTTAAACATCAATTATACTTGTTTACTATATACAATATACTATTACTATACAATTCGTTTCCTCTGGGTATTTGTAAAACAAGGCAGCAATTTTTCGCATTCCTATATGCGACAAAGCTGTTAATCAGCTTCTGGTTTAAACAGAACTTTTTGTTTTAATTGTAATATTTGAAAGATTTCAAGAAGATATTGACAAATTGTCCCATGGGAAGATAATCATTTCAGATAGTGCTTTAGTGGCTCAGTGCCGAAGTCGCTTTGCTGTCTTCTACTAAGGTTCCGCGTTCGATTCCCGTAGAATCCCTGTAGAACCTAATGTGAAATTTGTTTCGACTAAACGAGTTTGCATCTCATCCTTATTCCTTCCCAGTTCTTGACGATGACGCTGATAACAAGCTCGAAGACGCTACCTATCGCCGATTCCCTGACTTGACTACCCAGCGGCCTCTAGAGGGTGCTGGCTGAGTAATAACGGAGGATTACACCACGGTGCGCTCAACGCTTCTTATGGAGCTAGGAAGCGCGTTGCGTCTATAAAGACTCAACACATTTTAAAAAATCACATTATGTTATTAGTGAAACAAAATTTACAGAATTGATTTATTTTTCTACTTTCTTGCCTTTACCTCGCCCTTACGAAGCTACTTCGTAGAAGAAAAAGTTATGTCATCGTGCGCCGGAAAACGGCGAATTTTCGACAAAAAACTCTTATTGCCGGGCCCTGGTAACGAAAAAGGGGATAAATCCTGATGCTAAATAACGAAAAGATTCCTCTAACACGTGAAGTTTTATAGGTCATTGATAAGGAACTAGTAGTCCTACAGAATTTCTCGCATTCGTTTTTGATTTTTTTGACCTCGGTTAGGTATTCGGACTTGCCGCATTCTCTTGTAAGCTGTATTGCCGCCCAAAATACAATTTTTGAAATTTTTTCATTTGTTTAGTTTCTTATTGGTAGAGCCGATACATTACTTAAAGAATATTAAAGAAGGGTATCTATATAGCAATTTGTTTAAAATACATAGTTTTTAAGAAGAAGGCTTTTAAGAGTCACTGTGAAGTCTGTGGGAAATTTGAGGCTCTTTATCACAGAAAACGTTTTAGTATTCGAAAAACTGCAATAACGTATACAAAACCCAGGAAATGTGAATATTGATAGAGTGAGAGATATTTCAAAAATATTACATTTGTGTAATTAAAAAAATACAGCAAATTTAATTCTATGTCATCTTATCCGTAGTGCAAGTATCACTATCCACACGAAAAGTTTAAAAATATTGGACCCGTTTCCGAGAAAATGCGTTTGAGCGATTCTGAAAATTCTTTTGAGCTCGTGTTCACAAAAAACTGTTGAGATTTCGAGAAAATTTGTAAGACATTATTTAATGCACATGTACTGTTAAATGAAATAATGTTAACAATCGCTGCTAATGTAAATATTAACGACGTGGGAGAGGGAAAAATTGTATTTTTGGAAAAAACAACCAAAGAATAGAGCAAAATTGCGTCTAGAGCATCTCATAGACCACATTTAGCACTATCCCTTCCAAAAGTTTAAAGAAAAAGTTTGAAGCTGATTTTCGAGAAAATCTTGTTTTTGTATTTTTTTAAATTGCACGTATTGCTCACAATATTGCGCGAAAACTACTAAAATTTTCAACACAAATGTACCAAACCTTACTGAAAGAACTGAATAAAAACAACAAATTTCATTTGAAGGAAAATCTCTATATTTAATTATTAACACTATTCTTACAAGAAATTTAAAGAAAAAAAATTGGAGCCGTTTTTGAGAAAATAATGAAAAGTGTTCCAGGGGCTCACAAGTAGAATACTCCCAAAATTAAGGAGTGCTTTTCAAAATCGCACGCATCGTTTTCCCAATTAGAAATTTTAAAATAAAACAACACATTTTGGTATCAGGGGACTCCAAAACATGTATTTCCGTTAAAAGCTCGAAATCGATTTTCCGCAGCTTTACTCTCTCTCTCTCTCTCTCTCTCTCTCTCTCTCTCTCTCTCTCTCTATCCGTATATACGTACGTATACGAGAAAGAAACTAGTGGTGCTAAGGAATTTAATTTAATTGAATTGATGCCTTATTTTACATGGCGAGTCTCAGTTCCGCTCTTCCGTCTGACCACGCAAATTTCGCTACGCTCCTTTCACCAACTAGCGGAGAAAGTAGGTACCACTCGGGCGACGAAACAGACGATTTGAATTTAGCTCAGAGGATTCATTTAGGCTTGAGAATCTCTTTTACATGCAGTAAATCTACTAACATGAGACAACCGGCTTTACATCCCCTCCGAAGGAAGGCGAAGGATTTTTTCGCCCTTAAAAATCCACGGCTCCGTGGCACAGACTTTCCCGTATTAGTTTTCTATTTCTTTGGCCTCGTCTAGCTATACAAACTTACCACATACTCTTGGCAGTTTCCACTATCGCTGCCCAGCATTTTTAGAAATTTTCTTAATTTTTCGCTTTTCTACTAGTAGTGCGGCAATACTATTTTAAGATTATTAAAGAACAGTAAACGCACGTCTTAATTACATTTTGTTTGAAAACTTTTCAGCCATTTTAAATAAAATGGCACTGAAGCGCTACTGTAAATTCGAAATTTGAAGCTCTTTTTGACAGAAATTTATTGAGATTTCCTAAAACCTCATTTGGAGTCATTTACAGTAGATTAACTCACAAATACAATAGTGTTTACCAATTGCTAGGAATTTGCATATTAACAGTGTGAAAAATCGTTCATAAAACTATATTTGTATAATTTTTAAAAAAGGTAAAAAAATTCCCCGAAATGAACTTTACATCATATAATTGGTGCAATTGGCACCATATGTTCGCAAAATTTGGAGCCGTTTTTGAGGAAATGTCATTTGAGTGGTTCTGAAAATGCGGAATTTTGAGCTAGTTTTTACCAAAAACGGTTGAGTTGTTGAGAAACTTTGTATGACATTATTTAAAGCACATTTCTTCATAAATATAATAATGTATCCAAATTGCCGCTAATATAAATATTAACGACGCGAGATAAGTCAAAAAACTACATTTTTGTAATTTTTGAAAAATTGAAAGAATAGAGCATATGGCGTTTATGTCATCTTATAGGTTATATTTAAAACTATTTCTAACAAACGTTTAAAGAACAAATTGGTGCCGTTTTTACGAAAAAGTCTTGTCTTTGTAATTATTTAAAATTGCACATATTGCATACAATATTGCGCGGACTCTACTAAAATTTTGAGAAATGTTCATGACCTTTATGAAAGAACTGACTATGGAGAACAAATTTTATGTGAACAAAAAATATCTATCTTCAATTTTGTAGTTGTAAGAAGACGCTCGAAACAGTTTGAAATTTTGAAATTTTCGAAAATTTAAAGTTTAACCTGAATATCGGACCTATGCAACCTTTCTAAGTAGAGGCCGGAAAGTATGTAGTATGAAACGTTAAAATATGTACATATATATGTAATGAAAACATTAAGAATATGTAATAAATATGTAAATGTAAAATACATTAATTAAAAATAAGATTTTTCTAATTCAAAATTACATTAATCAAAAATTTTCAAAACTGATTTTAAAAACAATACATGCGCAAAAATCTTTGGAGGTATCAAGTTGATACTCATTTTGCGCTTTATAACTTTCCCGTCAGTAATAAAAGCTTCATTCTATTGCTATCCAGGAGAGTAGTTTAGCAGCCACCCAAGACGCAATAAAAGTCATTGTACAAAATGGTGATATAAACAACCAGCAAACAATCAGTGGAGCCGGCAGCATTCTCATCGGATTCTTAAACATCAGCGATCGCCAAAGTTTATCGTAAATTAATGTTAAACGTTACTAAATGCGGCGTCCGTAATACTTTTCACATCTAAAGGTGAAAATGATCTCAGTCGCTGAAGGGCACTTCCAGGGCGATAACTGAAGCAGGCTCGCCGGACTCGAAGAACATCTGACCCTGTTATGGTGGCCAATGTCAACTATTTAAGCGGACAGTCGACTTTTTTCAGGTTACATTCACTATTTTCTTTCTCAAGATAGTGGACTTTTTTATTCAAAAGGTTTATAGTGAAATGGTACGTAATCTAAAGCTGTACATTCCAAGAGAATAAGAAAAAGGGGAATCGTGGTTTGTCTTTTTTCTATGAGTTAGAATGAGACGAAAATCGAATATTCTTTGAATTCGATTCTCCGAGAAAAAATTAATTATGCTCAATTGTCGCACAATACATTTAATAAGAGTATATAATTATTTACATGCTATATTTCTTAACTCACATTTACCTATAATTATTTTTATATTATACTTTTTTCTTAGTTGGATAGGTATGTTTTGGAAAACTCATTTACTTATTTGAGCTTCAATGAGTAACTAGCCTCAATATGTAGAGCGCAAATTTGTCAAACCAAAGATTTCGTTGAATCGTAATAATCATTCAATTTCAGAAGAAATTATGAACATCTGGTTATTACCACCACGGCGAAAACAACTTTCACCCAACACTCTCTTCGATGAAATTTCTGCCTTAGAAGAAGTTTATGTTCGTCTGCAGGGCGATTTATTCATTAAAAAGTGAACGTAAGAGTCAGCTCCGAGTTAACTCAAACTGTTCCAGTATTGTGCATCAATTCCGGTATCCAAAGCAAACGTTGAACCGACTGTACCATCAGTTCGAAGTGAACTTTGTTTATTTTTTAATATTTATCAACCTTTTACTGAAATTAAAGATTTATTCCTTAAACACAAAGAATTGATCAAAACTCCGTAGTAAAATACAAAATACACACGAACGCAAATTAAAATGTAATTTAATATTTTACATATTACTATAAAAATGTAATGTTTTGCTTGTAAGTGAAGTTTTCAAGAGATTATTATCAGTTATCAAGTTATCAAGAGATTATATAAATACGAGTGAAAATGGTTGTAATAAAATAAATAATTTAACTGTAATAAAAAATACTACCCCCCACCTCGCGTGTCCTTTACTTTTCGGAAGTAGATCTGGTAACCCTAGGCCGCGTCTTAACGTAGCGCACTTGGAGCAGACAGAATTCACTATCAGTAAATAAGTAGGAAAACATTCTCATTTAAAAAAATTACTTTTCATTAAAATGTTATATAATTGAAGACAATTTATAAAAACAAAAAAATATTCTGTGAAAATAGAAAAATACGTAAAATATGTAGTATAGAACTAAATATGTAATGAAAAAAATGGATATTGTGTTAGGACGGTGACGATTTGCCAAGATTACGATTTTGAGAACGGTAAGTAGAAAGACTAAAAATATGTAATTACATAAAAATCCTGTCTATTCATAATACGAAACCCTTTCCCTGTGTCGCAGTAAAACGGATCATGCATTTATCGATAGTTGTCCGATTTCTCTGTTCTCCACGAGATAAAACGAAAAATCATACAATTTTTAAAATTTTTGATCAAATAAAATTACATTTTTATCAATAAAATCGAGAATACGCAACATTTAGGCATATAAATCACAAAATGGACATGGATTAGTGAAATAGGTATTTGTAGATACTTACTATTTAGATTTTAGATTTATTGAGTCAAAAAAACAGTAAAAAGTGTATGTGACGTACGAGGGAAAATATTATCTACGCACGTTTTCTTGAGTTCCAGAATCCTTCCCGTCATTTTAACTATAAATAGTTGAAAGGTGAGTAAAATGTTAACATAAATAAATAAAAATACATTTTAGAAATCGCAAGATTAGCAATATTTGAAAAATAGTCACTAAAAAATTCACACATGAAACTACTAACGCCAGTAAATTAGCAGTAACCTAAAACATTGCGGTTTCCTTTGAAATAAAAAATTGGCAAGTAGGCAAAAATCTGCAGCTTATTTATTGCCAACAACTGAGATGTCATGTAGTCGCTATCCAAGAAAATCGACCAAAAAGTAGGCAGCGGAAGTGATGTTACTATACGGTAACGCCCGCCCGCACTCAGTGATGTGACGAATATATCCAGCCTTTGGAGTGGAAAGTCATTAAACATTCAGCTAATTTACTTGATCTTAGAGCCACAGATTTTCACTTGTTCTTCTATCTATCTGATGAACCTCAAGGAAAGTCATTTCCGGATGTAAATGCGCTTCAAACATTTACTAACATTTAATTCGCAGAATATACTGATGATATTATCTCTCTAGTTCAACTTAACAAAAATGAAACAGGGACAAAAGGATATCTTTTCTTCAATTACGGTTATCGCTTGGTGCGATCTGAGACCAGAATGCGTGTGGGAGTACTTAAAAGAGACAATGAAACTTGAGAAAGAAAAAGTGAAACTCGATGTTAAAGACCATCTAGTAAAATTCTATGAATTCCGTAAGTCAGAAAATAATCTGTTATAATTATTATGAAGTAAGTGTTAATTCATCGCTACGAAAACGAAGTAGCCCCAGCACCGCCATCAAAGGTGTGCGTACCCAAAACGAAACTTCTCTGGGCCCCTTATCCATTCAATTTTTAAATTTTCATAGAACATTTTACTTCTACTAAAATTTTTAACAAATTTTTGAATTTTTAAAATGCATTCTTGAGCTATTTCAGAATGTGTAATCTCTGACTTGGCCGCATTTTTGGGGGGATAGTTTCGTATGCTTTTCTGAATTTTAAGCTGTTTTCGACCGACATTTGACTTTTTTATCGCATTTTTGGGGTTTTTGTGGGGGCGTAGTCAGGTTCAAATCGAATACATTTCAAGGACAAATTCAAAAGTTTCACGTTTTTGCTTTAAAAAATGTGCGATTATTTTGTAATTTTAGGTATTTTACGTAACATGTTTAAAATGTATTTTTATTGTAAACTTGCAAATCACAAATAATACTGTTTAGCTATAAAAACCCCTCCGGAGACGCCCCATTAAGCTAGTTTGCTTCGTATCTGCTTTGCAGAACGTGGTGATACGATTACGGCGAGTGCAACGTTTGTCTTTTTAATGGTAGAAAATAAAGAAAAGTTTGTTTTTTTAGATTTAGTTTTAAATGATTTTTAGGGGAGGGGGTCCTTGGACACGAATATCAAGTTTTTCAACAAGAAGTTTTCCCGGAAATATGTTTCTAAGGAAATATGTATCACATCTTTCAGTTTTTGCAAAATAACTCAGTAGCCACCCATTTTTCATAAATAATAGATGTATCCGTATATGAAATAAAAGAGGATAAAATTACCTACGTTTAATATCCTTAAGCTTTTTCCCTCCCCTCGACAGTTCAGCCCTGAGCGCACCGCGAACGTGCTGTTATTTTGCCTGTCTGAGCCCCGCGAGACCGGGCCGTGGTGGTGCGTAAGTGCCGTACCTGCCGCTGGGGCGCTGGGGGCGAGCGCAGCGATGGCCGCCAGAAGCAGGAGCAGCGCGCGGGTCGCCAACGCCATCTCGTGCTCTCCTCCTCCTCCGCCGCCGCCGCCGCCGCTTTATACGCCCCCCGCGCCCTATCTGGCCCCGCTAATGGCTTCCGGTGCTTGCCCGGCCTTTGCCCCGCACAAATGGCCTGCGCCGCTGCGCAAGACCAGCGATAAATGGACAAATGCCCTGCCCGCCGCGCGCAGGGGCTCCCAGCCCCCAACATGAACATCGACCAGGCGAAAACTACCACTGAATCGCTTCTTTTCAAAACCCCGTAAATCACTCTCTTTTTGTGAGAAAATAAAGGTTGCAGTGTAGATTCGTCGTCCCATGAGTAAATCCCGTAAATGAGTTGGATAGAATGGTCTTGATGACTCTACAAAGCTTTAGTTTGGTTTTGAAACCCTCCAAGACAATGGCTTGCGGGTTATGTAGGCATGCAGTTTGTATGACTGGGACATCACTGACAGATTCGTTAAAAGGGATGTTCAATACGGTAATATTCTAATGTACTATCATAGAAATACATTTCCAGCAACTGTTTCTATCATATGTAATAAATATGTCAAATTACAAACTAAACCTCCAGTGTGTATTTATTTACATATTTAGGTCAAATATTCCTGATTGGTTTTTGAAACCCCGTAAGTCATGAACTTTTAAATAAGTTCAGCGATTAATATTCTCTTGATACAAGTAAATTACATGTCTTCATGGCATTCTCAATCAATGTTTATGCATCAGAAATAAAAAGAAAAACAGAAAAGTTCTCTATGTACTTAATTATTCAGTCTTTCTTTTATCATAAATTTACAATTTAAGACTTTAGGATTTTAAATATAACCGATTCAATTATGTTTTTTGAAAAAGATAAATTACACGAGAAGGAAAAAGATTAAGCGCGTATTTTCTGCTATGTAGGTTTTTTTAAATATATATTTATTAGTGAACGAATGTACATAGTTCAGTATTATTTATACTACATTATATGTATTTTACGACTAATATTTAACTTAAATGCTAGTCTTAAAACTAAATCTAAATACACATGAATAGGAAATTCACAGATCACTTATGTGATTAATTGAGTTCTGAAAATATGCTGAGGAATCTAATGGATATCTATTTTTTATTCTTGTTGGGAACTGGTAGGTGGGGGCTAGGTCGTAATGGGTGGCTTGGGTTATTGTGTTTATTTTGGAGAAGAAATTGTTGGATAGGAGCGCAATATGGTAAAGTATAGGAGGTAAATTAAATTCTTTATGCAGTTGAATGTTTGAGATGAACCAGTGTGCATGAGTGGCATGTCTGTGGAAATTATTTTGGATGATCTGTAATTTATTGATATTAGTTTTAGAGGCATTGATCCAGATAGGGCATGCATAAAGCATTAGGGGTCTAATTATTGATTTATAGATGGTGATGGCATTGTTTAATGAGAGCTTACTATTGCGATTTAAGAGTGGCTTTAGTTGAATTAGTTTTATTTTGGCTTGCTGAGCTTTTACTGTTATGTGATTTTTCCAATTTAGTCTGGTATCAAGATTCAGCCCTAGGTATTTCACAGATTCATTGTGTGAGGTCCATGGAATTGGGTTATTGTTTATTCGAAGTGGAGTTGGGGTTGAAAATGTTCTTAATGAGAATATTTTGGCGCATGATTTTGTAGGATTTAGTTTGATTTTCCTTTTGACAGACCATTCACCAATTTTATTTAGATGTGTTTAAATTTGTTTACAAATTAGATAAGTTGAATGATTGGACATGAAAATTGCGGTACCATCGGCGAATTGGGCAATGTGCGTATGTGATGTTTTGGGAATGTCGGCTGAGTATATGTTGAAAAGCGTAGGGGACAGTGGTGAGCCTTGAGGTAATCCAGCTGTAATTCTGCGGGGATTGGATGTGTGATTATTAACTGTGACTGAAAATGTTCTATCTTGAAGAAAGCTAATAATGATATTAATTAAATAGTTAGGGGTACCTATTTCTTTAAGTTTCAATATTAATCCAGGATACCACACTTTGTCAAAAGCTTTCGAAATGTCTAAAAAGATAACTATGTATGTTTTTTTTTGAAATGCCGTGTGTATGTGCTCCGTGATTCTTAATAATTGATGAGAAGTTGAAACTTTATCAGTGAAGCCAAATTGGTGCATTGGGATTGTTTGAGGTTTATTCAGATGGGAATTTAGTCTTTTAAGGATTACTTTTTCTAGGATTTTTGATACAGTGGGAAGAACAGATATGTAGGGTATTCCAAAGACTCAATTATCTGAGATGACTGCGACCGAGACTATCTCGAATATTACTGACGTTATTTATTTACTTTCTCACTTACAATATTACTGGCAGTCACAGGCCGCGTCTTTTGCTGGGCCAACAGACGTAGGTTCTTCAGCATTGTTCCTACACTTCAGTTCCATGGATCCTCCTTTTTTTCACACAAGAGTTCAATTCACGAGGGGGCCTGGGGTATGTTCTCCAGCTGCCCCACCCTCTAAAGTCACCTTGCTCCTACCACACTTAACACTTCGCTAAATACCAATATACAATTTCACTCAACTTGATAGCATATTACGCGCTTCAGCTAAATCATATTTTGCTTAACTCACTGGCGGGATCTAAGTATACGATTACCGGCGATTTTTATACATTATCGCATTTGTGAGTATTAGTTTTTTAAATGATTTTAATTAAGTTTGTCGAAAACTCAAAAAAATTCTGCAAAAATGAGATCAAAATTACACCTTTACAAAAACTCGCAAACGACCTTTTCTCACCAATGGCTCCAAATGTTTCTATGAAAACCTCCGTATATGACGAGGTTTTACTCTTCCGTGATAAATGTTTAGTTCACCCATTACAGGACCTATAAATTGAGACATTGTGGAAACACGTCCTTTGGGCGGTAATAGTTGGCAGCTAAGAAAAGGGTGAGGCAAAACCGAAAATCTATCCCAGACTAAAGACATTAGAAAACGAATTAGCACAAGACCACCACTTGTAGTTGTCGGTTTTGCGTTGTGTGATGACATGTTTAGATGCAGTTTTTCAATTGGAGACTTTGGAGGGGTGCTACCTGCCAGACAGTATTAAACGTATTAACATAACCATAAAAGTGGTATTATATGCGGATACCTCCACCTAAACCTGATCTCACCAGTCAGTCATGATGTTTACGGCTGCTTCAGCCTTTTATTCTGCGTCGAATTCGAAAAACTTCGAACTCGGGCTACAAAATACAAATTACAGAGCACTGTAACTGAATGAGCCGCTGACATTTTCCGCAACCATAAACAAGACTGGCAATGGCAAACAACGATCACTTGAAACAAAAGGTTACTTGATTACGTTATTTTGTTGTATTATTTGATTTTCAAAAATGACACAATTTTTTTTGAAATATCTCTCACATCTTTAATATTAACATCATATATAACATCATAACAGATATATTTCCCTTTTAAAATGTTTATTAACAGAGAAGCTACAAAGTAGCGCTAATGCTGATTTTTCGAAGCTTTTTTTAAAGTTTTTGCATATAGGGGAAGAAAACATGGTGTATTTTTGAAAACGGTCGAGCCAAACTTACTCAAAATTACTAAAAATTACCTTCGGGAATCTAGATATTGGAAAAGAGTTATATTTTCCCCCATATTCCCAAAATCATATTTCGAGCCCAAAAAATACAAACAAACAAAAACGTGAGAATGTAGGTGGTTTTTAATTGCAGTAAAAACTAGTGGTGCTTCAACAGCACATTCTTTCTAAATTTGCAATGTTCAAAAATTCAGAGAATTTAATGAAAAGGATACATCACCATTCCTTAAAGTGTTTTTTGTTCAATCCAAGGAAAACATTAAATACATTTATAGCAGGTTGTAAGCAAATATTTATTTTAGAAATTGCATAAATTTCAAGAACAAATTACGTAAAAACTACTTGTTTTATAAAACATACTAAATGGCCTTATTAAAGGGGAGATTTTGTAGAATAGATTGTTTTCAAAACAAATATCTCGATTTTTAATTTTGTAGTTTTGGAATATTAAAATTATGAAATTTTCAAAAATATAAACTTCTCCGGAAATGATAATAGCACACATTTTTATACCGTATTGATTTCCTTTCAATTGAGAAAGTATTTCAATTTTGGAGAAAATCGGCTGAACGGTATAGGCGCTATCTTTGACCACATACGGTCAAATAGCAATTTGATGATAAATCGATTTTTCGGTATCAAGGGCTTACAAAACATAGATTCTGACTACATAACGAGTTAGAGAAAGTAATTTTCTGTATAGGAACAGGGCCAGACAATAAGAGATTTTCTGTTGAAAATTGCCCTTTTCCGGCTCACGATTTCAATACTTTTGGGACGTACGACGAGAAAGTAAAAAATCAATTTGAGAAACGAAAGGTAAACCGTAACTTTAATTTAAATGTTCTCTAATTTTTTGTCATATTACATTCTATCAACCGTTAGAACGAAAATATGCATTTTTCTGTTTTGCACGCTTAATGTGTATTTGGCAGAGTGTGTATAAATATTGGTTCCCATGGAAAGAATGTTGGATAAAAGTTGTGTACATTTTAATGATCCAAATATATGAACATAACAGCCATTGAAGATCAGAGAACAACATTACTGAATAAAACTGTTCACATGTGGAATATTGAAAGAATAATATAGTATGATATTTTTCCTCGCAGTTTACTAGATACGTAGTGATTGTATTTCCAGGGCATTATATTAGTTGGAATAGTTATATATCTGAAATGACATGTCCGTGTGACGTTTCTGGTTGCAAAATAATATTTTTCTGTGTGTCTCAAGTGTACGTCTGTATCATTTTTACTTTCCCGTACACATACGTATATACGGAGTAATATACTCGTATGTAGTTCAGGGAAAGTTATGTAATGCTGTGGAAAATCGATTTCGAAATTCCGACGGAAATACACGTTTTGGGGGCCTACGAGAAGCGTAGGATCTTTTCCAAATTGAAGAAACCCTTGTTGATCAGGCACGAGTTCAATCTTTGAGATTTAGAAAAAGTCTTTAAAATTCGTGGGTACTTCACATGAAACCCACCGGACATTTTCAACATTTTCTCAAAAGTGGCTCAATTTTTTTCTTTTAATTTCTTGTAAGATTAGAGTAACATACACTTATAAGATCTATTTTCATGGTTAACTCTGAATTTTCGAAAATTTCAGACATGATTTTTTTTGGTGTCTTCCTTCAACTATAAAATTGAAGATAAAGATTTTCCCTTCAATTAAAATTTGCTCTCAATAGTGAGTAATTTCATTAGGGTCATGTACATATTTTTGGAAATTTTAGTAGAGTTCGTGGAATATTTCATGCAATATGTGTAATTTTTTAAAAAATTACATAAACCACATTTTATTAAACTGGCTCCAATTTTGTTTAACATTTGGTAGGGATAGTACTAAATGTACTCTATAAGATGACATAAACCCCATATTGCGCTATTCTTTTGTTTTTTTCAAAAATTTCAACAAAAAAAATTGACTTCCATTAATGTTTGACATGTCGTTAATATTTATATATACAGCAATTTGGTCACATTATTATATTTATGAGTACATGTGCTTTAAGTAATGTCATATAAAGTTTCTCGAAAACTATACCGTTTTCTGAGAAAACGAGCTAAAATTTCCGCATTTTCAGAAACACTCAAACACCATTTTCTCAGAAACGGCTCCAATTTATTTCTTCAAACATTTCTAACAGATAGTAGTAATTGCACTGTTTAATATGACGTAAAGTTAATTTCGGTATATTTTTTGATTTTAAAAAAATTATACAAATGTTAATTTCTTGAAAGATATATCATGCCGTTTATATGCAAAAACCCAGCAATTTGTAAACACTATGGTATTTGAGAGTTGAAGTACTTAAAATGATTTCAAATTAAGTTTTTCGAAAACTCAAAAAAATTCTGTGAAAAAGAGCTTCTAATTTCGAATTCACAGTTGCGCTTAAACGCCAGTTTTTTAAAAACGGCTCCAAATTTTTGAAATAAAATTGCTATTTTGGACAAGATTTTACTGGTATTTAATATTCTTAAAATAATATTTCCGCTCTAGTATTAGGAAACTGAAAAATTAAGAATATGTCAGAAAAATGTACTTTGGGCGGCAATAGATGGTAGCAGGCAAGAATATGTGGCAAGTTCGAATAGCTAACCGAAAACAAAGGAAATAGAAACTTAATTCGCGAAAGTCTGTGCCAGTCTGTAGCACCACAAGTTTTAAATTTAACCAGATCAGTTGAACTTCCACTTTAGAGGAAAATGTTATTTTATATTTATATGTAAAATGGATGGATGAACTTGCACAGGAAGGAATTGTAATTTGTTATTGGTTCATTGCCCAGTTCTCCATGAAGGTGGATATGCACCGAGAGGTATTGTAATTGAGCATAGCTCTTTACTTTGGAAAGTTTTGCAAGGGTTTCAGAACATCAAAATATGGAGAAGTTCCTAAAAAACTGGCGTTTATGCGCAACTGTAAATTCGAAATTTGAAGCTTTTTTTTCACCGAAAATTTTTGAGTTTTCGAAAAACATAATTAGAAGCCATTTTAAGTACTTTAACTCACAAATGCCATAGTGTTTACAAATAGCTGGAAATGTGCATATCAACGGCGTCAGATATCTTTCAAAAAATTTACATATGTGTAAATTTTGAAATACAAAAAGTACACCATTTTTCAAAACAATAATATATTCAATATCAACAAAAGTTTAACTACAAAATATAAAATTATGAACGCAAAATGTATTAGCTTCATTAGTCAGTGAGAGTTTCTTGCGTTGTTCACAAACATTCCTCAACACTCGCCTTTTGCGATTTGTCTTTTCTCGTTAAACCATAAATCCTACCTCACATACATGATATACTGATCTTCATCTCCATCAAATGTCAAATCAGACGCCAATGGCAGATATATCGCGTCCCTTTCTTAAAAGCGAAACTTAATAAAGCTACGGAAACCGTCAACCAATATCACGGGCAAACATTTCAATTCTTCATCTTAATAAAAAAAATTGAACAACCTGTGGAAAATCTCTCGGCGTTTTTCCACTCAAAACTGAAGCGTACTCTAAAGGTTCCCCCCCCCCTCTCTCTCTCTCTCTCTCTCACACACACACACACACACACACACACACATTTGCGTGGAGAAAACATCTATAGAAAAATTCCTAAATTGCCCGTATATGACTGCCGCGTTACCTATAAATTATATCTCTCCAGCCAACGTAAAGCAATTAATCAAGAAAACCAAAAACAAATCTTCCCATATCTACACTTTGATTCAAACATTGAGTTCCATGACGTAAATCAGATGTTACGGTGTCATCCCATCCGGAGCTTGGATGAAACCTACAGCAACGATGTTTAAGCCCTGGGTTAGATGTCACCGCTGAGCAAACATCAACGGACTGTGTAAATAAATCGAAGTATAACCTTGTTCTTAAACATCTCCCGCCACATCCCCCGTTGATTCTGTAACTGCTATCGTTTTCAGGATTCTCTTGTACTCGTATTCTTTCCCCCATATTGGATAAAGTCAAAATCATTCCCATTTTAAAACCCAATAAATCCCCAAAATTCCCATCAAGTTACGGACCCAATTAGTTTCTTACGAGCAAAATTCGAAAAGCTGATCTCAATCAAATATAAACTCATACCATAATAAAATAAATGCAATTATGTTACATCAATTTCGATTAAGAATTGTCCAATGAATCGCTCTGGCATATCAACGTAATCAATTCTGCGTAACGGTCTTCTTAGACCGCGTATGCGTTTGATACAATCTGGTGTTGACTGATTTTCAAGTTACGTGAACGAAGACTACCGGGACATTTGTTTCAAATAATCAAATGCTTTCTGCATAACAGATTCTTCGCAGTACAAATAAACAATATCTTCTCCCTCCTCACTCCTATTTTTGCCGGGATCCCCAAGAATCCCCCCTCTCTGCATCACCACTGCTATTATTATTATTATTATTATTATTATTATTATTATTATTACTATTATAAAGGCCAGATTAAACCCACTATCAGAATATATCCCACTTGTGTATAACATCCACGAAAAGTTCGCCGGGAAACATATTTTGATGTAATGTGCACTCTTGTGAAGTGTGCATGTACTGCATTCTAATGCTTGGTTACAAGTAATTCCAAGAATTGAGCATTTTATTGTTTCTGTTACAAGAAGGTGCACATTGGGTTTCTCGTTTGGGACAGTGGGGTGACACTAGATAGGGCACATCCGGTCCTTATTCAAATTCCATACAGTAGCCAATCAGAGTTCAGAGCGACGCCATATACTTCTGTACAACACCAACTCGCTCAAGCGGAGAATCGGTGAACTACTTTTTCATTTTGAAATTTTTTCGCAAACGAGCCGGTTGGTTACCGTTGGATTCCTTCCTCGTCGACCTATGGTTGCATATTCACGTGTTGTTCGTAGGGCTGTTAACGCCATATCGCAGTCAGTGAATTAGAGAAATGAAGTGATTTACTGCTGTTTGAAGTCTGAAGCGTGCATTTTGGCTTCGAGAAGATGATGGGTGCGTAACAAATAGTGGAATTTTTTTAATGTTAAAGGTTTAGTTGCAGATCCCTTGTTTGGACCAAGCGAGGTGACACCCACTGCAACTATGGGTGTAATTGGTAAGATTGTTTTAAATAGAATATTACTAGAATATATTTTTATAGTTTTAATAGAATATATATTGTGATGGGAGGCTATGATACCAGCATTTTTTTAATTTTCAGATCCTTGTACACAGGCAACTTTTCAAACTGAAAATGGTAAGTCTCTTGTATGTTTGTAAAATGCAAAAAGAAGCATGCTATTGAAA